GGAATGTCTTCGACAAAACAAATTATGTTTCATATAAAGCTCTAAATTGAATCCAGAATGTAAACAAATTAATTTTATTTGTAGATACGTGACTTACAATTTGAGGCGCATTCACCAAAATGCCAAATATGATATGTAATGATGGAATTTGTAAATATCAATACCAAATGAACGTAGATAATTATAATGCCCGAATAACTCCGAGCGCATTTGTGCTATCTAAGCCTATTCGATGTGCATACACACACACACACACGCACACATACACGTATGTGTTTGGCTTTGGGCCACAGTTGGATTAATTATGTTTTATTGATTGACAGTCTCAGGAAAATGCAACTAATGAGAACTATCTACATATCAGGGCTCAGATGGGCGAGGCTGTGCTGTGCACATAAAGCCGAGTCAGTTGTGTTAAGAACTGTGTGATTGGGTTATCATAGGTCAGCGCAATGTGGACTTGTGCAAGCGAATCGGGTTACCGAACTGTGGGCGAGGTCGAAGTGGCCTGCTGAGCCTCGTTTGTGGCGAAAATAGATGCGTAATTTGATTATGCACACAGACGTCAAAGTTATTTATATTTCATTTCTTAAGCAAGCAAAGTTAATTAATTACTAAACAACTTTAAGCTGAGAGCCGCAGACAGACGAACGGGCGGACTGCTCAGTCTGTCAGCAGTTGAGCGCTGCATGCTGGAGTGCCATGAAATTACAATAACTTAAGAACTTTCGGTTCAGCTCACTTAAGAGCTCACTCAATGAGCAAGGACTGCAGCAGCCGGACAACGACTGGCGGCAGGAGCAGTTCCTGGCAAGACGCTAAACTTCAAAGCATTAATGGAAACTTAAGATGGCTGTAAATTTAACAACAGCAGCAGCAACAGCAGCAGCAGCAACAAGCATGTCAAATTTAAATGGCGATGCCAAAGGAGAATGCATGTCCCAGCACTGGAGATGGCTACAATGCCACAGCTCGTCTGCCAAATGCAAATGCAAATGCAAAAGACAAATAAAGAGAGAGAGCGAGCAATAAGAGCAAAAACTAAAACAAAGGCAAGCATGCATTTGGTTTGGATGCCAAGCAACGCTAAGCAAAGCGCAACAGTGGAGCAAGCAAAGCACAGCGAGTCGCGATTTGAGTGGGATTTCAATTTCAATTTCGCCTCTGTTGGCATTGCTAATGAAGCATCAGTAGAACCACCGCCGCGGCGGTTGCACAAAGCGTTGCCTCGCAAGTAAATGTCAAACAGCAAATGCGCTGCTCGCATTGAGAAACTTTTGGCGGCCACAACAAGCGGCAAGATGCATCCACTAGATACAATATACCCAAGTCTGATTTGCCTTGGCTGTCGGCCACATTTAGCAGCGTCTGCGGCTGCCACGAGATACGAGGGATATGCAGCAGGCAAAAATGAAATTGCTTGCAATAAATATCAAATTAAATAGAAATTTGCAGCGCCACACAACTGCGAGTGGCGAGTGGCGCGTGGAAAGTGGAGAGTGGAGAACGGAGAGTGGAGAGAAAAAATGCAAATCTCTGCTAATTCTTATAAATTATTGAATAAGAAAAAGTCAAATGATTCATTTTTAAGCTCCACCCTTCATCACTAAAGCTCAGCTGGCAGCAGCAGCAACAGCAGCAGCAGCAGAAAAAATGACCCTGGCCAGTAGCAGGAGCAGCAGCAGGAGTAGCGCCATAAAACCAAGAAAAAGCCATGAAAAAAATAGAAAAGAGAGAACATTTCCGGATAAGCAGAGACAGACAGTAGGCGAATGCGGTAAGAGGAGCAATGCAGCCAAGCAAGCGAAGCTGTGAGCTGTAAGCCGTGATGTGTGTGTGTGTGTGTGAGCATGAACGTGTGCGT